AGTTCTGAGGGAGATGCCCACATTTTCAGGGTCTTGGGAGAAGCAGGCACACATAAAGGCTCTTAAAAGGCCTTCCAGAAGGAGAAGGGGCCACCACGTCCTGAGAAAAAGGTCACATCCCACACCCAGGCCCTTGGCTGATTAAGGCCATAGGCAGAGCGGAGCCTAGAGTTAAGTTCACGAACAGGCATGGGCTCAAAATTACAGCTTGACGGCTGGAAGAACCTGGGATTTTCCTGAAAACCTGTCCTCGATCCTCTGAGACTCAAACCTCCTCTGGGAACATGAGAGGAAGGGGGAGGGGAAGAGAGGCAGGAGGGTGGTGGTTGGGGGCTTGGCTCAAGGATCTCTCTGCTCTTACTCAGACAAGCCCACCGAGATCCAAGCCACCCCATGGTCCTACTGAGACCTGTCTGATCTCCATGTCTGATCTCCGAGTTTACTCTCCTGTTCTCCGGGATGAAGCTTCCATCTGGATGTCCCATGGGCACCTCTCAGCCAACATTTCACACCTGAACTTAGCTTATTCCTCCTGACCTTGCTCCTTCTCCTCTGACATGCCCATGTCAGAGATGGTCCCATCATCCCGCCAGGTCCCCCCATCAGAAGAAGGGGATGTCTTTTGTTCCTCATTCTCCCTCCCCTTCCATAGTTGATCTTGTGGACCCCATGATCATAATACCTCTCTGATCGGTCCCCTTTTCTCTACCCCTAACCACCCAGGCTCAGACCTCATCACCTGGACTTCCCAACAGTCTCTCCTCCAATCCATCATCCATGCAGATCACCCGGAGTATCCTTTCCAAAATGCAAATTTCGCCATGCTCTTCCTTTCACACCAAACCCTCTGTGGCTCCCCACTCAGTTTTGTCCACTCTCCTTAACCGACCACCAAGGCCCAGCCCCAACGGAACTCATCTCCTCAAACTCCCCCAACCATCCAGCACTTCAACCACATGGGTCTCCTCATTGGTCCCTGCCCCAGACCTGATACATAGAAGACCTCAGTGATTATTACTCAAACCAACATAAGGGAACGCACCAAGCTCACCTCTGGCCAAGAGTGGGCCTGGGTCAGGGACAGAGGAGGCAAGGCAAATGGGCCAGCCTAGACCAGTGGGCCCACCCCAGGGCCAGGGGAAGCACAGCTGGGGCGGAGGAGGGGCATTCAGGCTTAAGGGGCAACAAATAGGCCGAGGGGGTGGGGGGACAACAGTGGAGGCAGCTCAGGAGCCAGGTGTGACCCTGGAGAAGTACTTTCCCTGCTCCATGTTCCCAACTGGGAAGTGGTCAAAACATCCTAGCCCTGCCCCGTTCCCAAGGGCCCTGTGGAGTGTTGATGACAATGAAGCTCAAGGTTACAAAAATACTATCAATGCCAACATGTGCTGGACACTGACTGCGGGTCAGGCACCGGGCTGAGTACTTGGATGGCACGATCCCAATTAACCATCATCCTATGAGTTAGTGCCATTGCTGGTGTCCCCATTACACAGGTGGTGTTAGGGTGAGTGACCTGGCTGGGCACACAATGGATGTGCATGAAAATAGTACCCAGTGTGGGGTCCCGACCACCTGTAATGTCACCCACCTTTTGCTCCTTGTCTCCAGACGGCTCCAGCAATCCCTTACCTTCCCCAGTTGTCTTCCTATAGGTTCCTGCCCCAGTGCCCCTGACACCCCCCTGATGATTCCAGTCACACTGACCTCCCCGGCTCGGCCCCCTGAGTCTACGACAGTGATGGCGAACCTATGACACGCGTGTCAGAGGTGACACGCGAAATCATTTTTTGGTTGATTTTTCTTTGTTAAATGGCATTTAAATATATAAAATAAATATCAAAAGTATAAATCTTTGTTTTACTATGGTTGCAAATATCCAAAAATTTCTATATGTGACCCGGCACCAGAGTTAAGTTAGGGTTTTTCAAAATGCTGACACGCCGAGCTCAAAAGGTTCGCCATCACTGGCCTACGACATGGTTTCCCCGCCCACCCGGTTATACTTAGTTGGGCACCAGGTCACCGCAGATGAGGCTGAATCTCTCCAGTCCAGCCCCTGAGAGTGAGCACCAGGACTCCCGCACAGCACCCAGGCCCAAGCCTCCCCGTCCTACCTCTTCTTAGTGGGGGTGATCTCCGCTGGCCGCTTCTCCTGTAGGACGACTTGGTTCCCACTGGTGACGGTGGCTTTTCTGCCCATGAGGGGCACCATCTCCTTGGGGTGGGCATTCATGGCTAGAACACAGTCAGAGCACAGATGTTCAGGTTGGCTCAGGGGCATGGAGGAGCTTTGGGGGCTTCAGACCCCCTGGGGCCCCTGCTTATACCCCTAGGATGGGGAGCTCACTCTCTCCCTTCCCAGGCCACCAACCCCTCTCAGGGGCAGGGAGACTGTCCCTGAAGCTGCCCCTGCTCCCTGCCCCCTGCTCCCTGCTCCCTGCTCCCTGCTTCCTGCCCCCTGCTCCCTGCTCCCTGCTCCCTGTTCCCTGCTCTAGCACCCCTGCTCATGTCCAGCCCGGCCAATCTCCGGGTAGATTGCTGAGAATAAGCTCTGCTTTCTCTTATTTGTTTGTTTGTTTGTTTGTTTGTTTGTTTGTTCATCCTCACCCGTAGATGTTTTTCCATTGATTTTTTTAGACAGAGTGGAAGGGAGGGAGGGAGAGGAGAGAGAGAGAGAGTGAGTGAGAGAGAAACATCGATGTGAGAGACACATTGACTGGTTGCCTCCAGCTCGTGCTCCGACTGAGGATGGGGATCAAATCTGCAACTCAGGTACATTCCCTTGACAGGAAATCAAACCCGAGACCCTTTGGTCTGCAGGCCAATGCACTAACCACTGAGAACACCAGCCAGGCCAAATGCTGTTTTCTCGATGCTCATATCGGATTTTGTGTTCAGAGCTCTCCGTGACAGAACAGGACTTGTTACCCCCTTTACTCTAGACCAGCGGTTCTCAACCTGTGGGTCGCGACCCCTTTGGGGGTCGAACGACCCTTTCACAGGGGTCGCCTAAGACCATCGGAAAACACATATATAATTACATATTGTTTTTGTGATTAATCACTATGCTTTCATTATGTTCAATTTGTAACAATGAAATTGGGGGTCACCACAACATGAGGAACTGTATTAAAGGGTCACGGCATTAGGAAGGTTGAGAACCACTGCTCTAGACACTGTGCTCCTAATGACACAGCTTCAGCCCCTCTGGTTTCTGGATTTCTCAGCACCTGGTGGTCTCTGTAGCTAACACACTGACCAGCTCTCTCTTGCCCACACAAAGCACAGTGCGACCAGCCTTGTGTCTGTCTGTTCGCGTGGAGGGAGCAACTGAGGAGGCAGCCTCTCCGTCCAGACCTGCTTTATTGACAGTCAGTGTGGCTGGATTGCACGCTGGTGGGAGGAGGATGCTGGAAAGAGGGACCGAAGCATCTTCTAAGGAGACTGGAGGAAGGACAATGCCAAGACCAGGGGTCAAAAAGTTGAGCGAGTGGTAAGGAGCTGGTGTGGTTGTTCATGGGGAGCCCCGATAGCAAGAGGCTTGGGAGCAGGATGGGTCGAGTTGTGAGGACCTGGACGCCAGTCAGGTGCTGTGGCAGAGCCCCAGGGCAGCGGGGGACATGGGAAGGCCCGGGTTACATAGGAGACAGCCACCTTGGAGAGAGCAGGCTGTGTGTGGGACGGGGAGACCAGAGACGGGGGCCAGGGGAGGCTGCTGTGGGGGCCATCAGGATGGGAAGGGTGGGCTGGCCATGGGAAAGGGTTGTGTGGACAGGAGGTGACTCTGTAGTTAACGGGGGCCATTCTCAGCTCGAGCAGCACTGAGGGAACTCCCTCGGAGTCAGGGAGGTGGGGGTGAGGGACAGATTTCTGTAAGAGCCCCGTTGGGCGGAGTGGAAGTGGGGCCACTGGTGATCCTGCCCCAAAGAAGAGAGCTTCCTGGAGCAGGCTGTCATCAGACTGGAGTGCGGTTTACAAATGTCACAGCCCCTACACACACACACACACACACACACACACACACACACACACACTAAAGGTGAGCAACCTGGGGAGAGGAGGAGTGGTTCACCAATGCCTTTGGCCCAGAGTATGGGCACCTCAGGGCAGGGAGCTCAGAGGAAGCGCCTCAAGGCCAACCAGGTGCAGCAGCCCATTGAGAGACCATTGTAAGCGGCCAGATGCACGGAAGTGAAGACCAAGAGTAAAGAAGAGGGATGAAAGGCCTGTTTCTCACTCCTCCTTGAGCCTGTTTTCTACTCTGAGAAATGGGCTGAATGGTCCCCAAGGGCCCTGTATCTCTATACATGCAGCCGCCTGCTCCATCCTCTCTGCCCTGGGCCTGCCCATGGGTGTGGGCAGCACTGGGCAGCCAGGCAAAGTGGTTCAGGAAAACTCGGACTGGGACATCGGCAGCTGTAATTAGCTCCCTGAGTCACCCAGGAGGCCCTGCGTTCTCACCAGCCAGACTCTCTCGATGCCGCAGCATCCCTCTCTCTGGATCAGGCTTCCACCTGGGAGGTAGGAGGTTGTGCCTCCCCAGCCCGGGCACTGTCCACAGGCACAGGGAGCCCCACGCCTCTGGCCCGGCACCTGTGGAATGAATGCCTGGGCCCTGTCCCTCTCAGCTCAGAGCCGCCTCCCCCATCCTGAAGTCCCATCACTCCTGCCCACAGAGCCACATCCCTGGGCCTGCTAGAAAGACAGGCGCCTCATCTTGGCCCTGGGAGCTGTGAGCTTCTCCCTCCCCAGATCCCCGGCCCTCGGGGAAAGGCTCCTGGCTCCATCAGACCCTGTGCTCTGGCACACGCTCCAGGGCCAAGAGCTCAGCCCAAATCTGGCTTTGTTTCCCCTGCTAGAGGCTCACACTCCCACCAACACTCGCCTGAGGCCTAGCAACAAAGGGTAGACATGGCCCAGAGGACGCCATAGGTCCCCTCGCTGGGCTCCCCCTGGACTCCCCGGGGCTTTGAAGGGCACTGGCTGCCTGTGTGGCCACTCACCTGGTGAGGTCGGGTGGCGGCGGCTGCCCTTGCTCTGAGATCACCGCATGCCCGGGGCCCAAGGCCCCCCGGTGGGGCACTGGCTGAGGCGGCGGGAGGCTCTCATCACAGGTAGAGAGATGGCTGGAATGAGGCTTCAGAGGCAGAACTGGCTGGGCCACCTGCCCTCTGCGCCAGGCAGGCCACACCCCCCAGCCACAGCTGCAGTGCCCGCCCGCCCACGTGCCATGCCTGACTCACCTCCACGCCCACACGGCAGCCTCACCCTGACCCAGGAGAAGGTGAGGAGGCAGCAGGTGTCAAGGCCAAAGTTCTGGTCCCGACTCTTCCCATCAGGAGCCTCCGTTTCCCCATCTGAGAAATAGGAGCCATACGGGCTCCTTCCCAAGGATGCTGTGAGGAGTCAGACTCCGCCGGTGGGAGGGCCTAATGCACAGTCAAGTGCTCTGTCCTGGCCCCTCCAGGCAAGGCCACAGCTGAGGGCTGGCCTGAGTGACCTCAAGGCGGCCAGCCCCAAGACTTGGTATCAGTCCTTCAAAGTCTGGAACCAGGTCCCCTGAGAGACAGAAGTCCCCATTCAGTGCTCCCACCAGAAGTTATGCACCACAGACCTTGGTGTCAGACAACCTCACCCATTTCTTACTGTGTGACCCGACAAGTCACTCTCCCCAGCCTGTTTCCTCGCCTGTGAAATGTGCATAATAAACCACCTACCCAAGTCACTGAGTTCCTGTGGGGATTAAATGGGAGACCACAAAAAACAAGGCCCAGAGAGAACAGAAAGAACTCCATAAATGGTGACAGCTATTAGCCATGATTGGTTTTGTCATGCTGATCCATTCTCCCAGCAACTGCCCTGGACACGGGCCTCCAAGGCCAGAGCATCCGGGAAGACTCCTGCCCTCCCTGCGCTCTGGCTGCAGCTATGACGGGGGCGGAGCAAGGCTGGCTGGCCCTGCCTGTCTCCACGTCTCTCGGGAGTCACACACCTGTTCCCACAGGCGAGATGGAACTGGGATGGAGCAGGAAGTCTCTGGTGACAGGGATAGCACTGGTGACTGATGCAGCGGGGACTTCCCCTTGATCCCTCATCACCACCACGCTCCAGCCTGGGGAGGGGCAGGAGGCGGGGTCAAGCTTCTGACATGGGACAGCAGGCCCTGTGCCCAGGAAGGAGCAGGAAGCCTGGCTTGGGGCCAGCAGGCCTCCGGTGTGCGTGATGTAGGGGCTGCTTTCGTTGTTTAAGTCAAAGGGGGTCTCGGATTCCCATGCGCACAATTCAAAACCTCATCGCCGCCTGGAATTCCACATGAAAGCCCCGTCTTGGACCAAGCCTAGTCCTCCCTCTATTACTCAGTTAATTGCCCCTCCTGACTGAGTCCCTCACCCCTCCTGGCGGCTTCTGTCTGCCTGAGAACCCTGGGGGCAAGGCCGTCACCAAATGTCGGTGTTTATGCTTTGCCTGGTGTCAGCACTTTTCCCAAAGGCCAGGCTGGAACTGGTTAAAAAGGCCCCATCACCCACCCAAAAGGCATGCAGTGTGCTCAGCCAGGAGTGAAGCGAACGCGCTCTGCTGGGGGCGCAGGCAGGGGCCACGTCCCAGCCAGAGACAGAGCCATGCCCCCACGCCCACCTCAAGCATATGGAGCCAGCAGCTCCAGCCCTTGGGCTGTCTACACTCAACCCCGTGTAATCCCACACACGGCGACAGCCCAGGGGGACAGGCAAGGCAGGGAAGCCAGGGGCCAGGGTGGGACTCAGAATGGAGAAGGTGGTCTCCCTCCAGGAATGTGGAGCCCTCACCCCACCCGGCAGGTTGTAAGGACAAGAGGACTCAGGCACCGAGGAGGGATGAAGTCGCTCTGATGGGGCGGTGGGAGGTGGGTCAGGAGAGAGGGGGCGTTGGGGTTGGGTGTGGAAGGAGGGAGGACAGTCTCCACAGGGAGAGCCACAGGAGCAGGGACTCGGAGGCCAGAGACCACAGACCTTTGAGGAGTGGTTGACGAGCTTGGGCGACATTTGAACTCGGTGGGGTGTCAGAGATGCTCTGCCCAGTCCGGCGGCAGCCCACGGAGTGACCCCAGACCACCAGGTCAGCCCTGGCCCCTGTCACAAAGGGCTGTGCTGGCCTCGCCTTACAGGGCACGGCACACAAGACCCTGCTGGGGATGCTATCACCAACATGGCCTGGCAGGGAACTGACCAGCCGGGCTGAGCCAGCACCTCATACCAAAGGCAGTGCCTCTGCCCATCCAGACGCCAGCTGCTGCCTGCCCAGTGGGACTCCTGACCTGTGTTAGGGGGAATGTGGAGCTGAGGTCCTGCCTCTTTCTACCGGGCCTGGACCCCCCGCAGAAGCGAGTTTTGCCCGCTCTGCCTTCACTGTGCCATGTGGGTGCCCTCGAATGCTCATTCACAGCAGCCCAGCACCTGGGAACCAGGGAGCCTTGTGGGGGGCGGGGGAGGAGCAACAAGCTGCCCCCACGATCCAGCTCCTCATTTCTTGGTGCAGCTGTGAGCCACGCTGTGCCTACCCTTCATCCGTGACCTGCACTCCCTCTCTGAGATACAGTCCCAGGAGGGACCTTTCAAACTGGCTGTGCCCGTGGAGCGAAACATCAGGGAACATGGGGCCAGAGGCCGGGGTGGGAGGCAGGCTGCGAGAGGAAAAGGGCCGCCTCTGCATATTCCTGACCCGGTCCCACTCCCCCCGAACCCGGAGACCTGGGTTTCAGGCGGCCCTAGACATCTGCCAGCACACCCCGTGCCCGCCTCCTCCTCTCCGGGCTGAGATCAGAGCGGAAGCCTCAGTGGGCGGGTGTCAGTCAGCTCCACGTCTGTCTGCTGTGGAATTTAAATGCCCACAGACAGATGCCCCGCCCCCTCTCCGCACCTCCTGTCTTGCAGACATCGGGCCCCAGGCGGGTCCACAAGATCCCCCCAAAGAGGGAGAAATGAGAGAAGAGGTTTCTGTGGGTGGGTGCACCCAGGAGGGCTGACCCCTTGACCCTCTCTAGGAAACACCCCACTTGGTGCTGTGAGGAAGGGACCAGGCAGAGCTCCATCGACAGCCTTGGGCCCACTCCCCGGTGGTCAGCAGAGGGTCCGTCTGCATCCTGGCAGCCCCAGCTGTCCTTGGGCTGAGCAGGGCAGCCTCCCTATCGCTGATTCTGGGTTGTGGCTCATCCTGCCTCCACGTGATGGAGGGGGGCACGTGGGGACAGAGAGATAAAGAGACAGCGACAGGAACAAACAAAACAGAAATAGACCATAGATACAGAGAACAGCCTGCTGGTTGCCAGAGAAGAGGGAGGTTGGAAGACGGGGTGGAAAAGGTGAAGGGGTTGAGAAGTACAGGTTGGTGGTTACAGAATAGTCATGAGGATGTGAAGTACAGCTTTTTGAAAAACCCTAACTTAACTCTGGTGCCATGTCACATATAGAAACTTTTTGATATTTGCAACCATAGTAAAACAAAGATTTATATTTTTGATATTTACTTTATATATTTAAATGCCATTTAACAAAGAAAAATCAACCAAAAAAATGAGTTCGCCTGTCACCTCTGACACGTGTGTCATAGGTTCGCCATCACTGGCTTAGGGAATAGAGTCAATGATGCTGTGATTACTATGTATGGGGCCAGGTGGGTCCTGGAAATATGGGGGGGACACTTAAGTATATGGTTGTCTAACCATTATGCTATACACCTGAAACTAACAGAAAATAATATTGAATGTAAAGTGTAATTGAAAAAAATTTAATTATAAAAGAGACAGCAACAGATTTAAAAAAAAAAACACAAAATGGCTAGTTGCAGGTGTGTCCTCCGCAAACCGCCCAGCTTCACAGCAAAAGGTTGTGAGCCTTCATTTTACAAAAGAATACCCACAAGGCAGTTCAAAAGTTATCCAATTTGCAAAAATGTATGGATAGTTCACATCTACACGACACTTTCCGAGGAAGACCTACAGGTGAAGCAGGGGGTCCCAGGCCCACGACAGGAAGTGAGAAGCCCTCACGTGGCTGGCGCGCCCCCTCTCCTGCCCTGCCAGGCAGCCCAGCTCCGCAGTTCGGTTCCGGGCTTTGGAGTCAGACTGCCCGGGCGCAGACCCAGGCACTGCTGTTTCCTGGGCGTGTAATTTTACTAACTGTCCCAGCCTCGTTGTTCTCATCTATAAAATGGAGCTAATGATAGCTTTTCATAGGCTGTTAGGAAGCTTGAAGGCTAATGCACTTCGTATAAACACTCAATACGTGCTGGCCACCAGTATCCCTCCTCTACGTCCATTTGCCACGGTCTGGCCACGGCTCACCTCACACCTTGTCAGCGGCCCTCATGCACCTCTGTCGGGCCTCGTGTGTGGAGACAGATATGACGCTGGAGAACGTGGTAAAGGAATCCCATGTTTCCTCCAGGTACCTCTCTCACAGGAGCGGAAGCCCCCGCCTCAGCGGATGCCAGCCCTGTTTTCATGAACTGACGTCCAACAATTCCATGCCTGGGCCGCTCATCCCACGCCCCACAGACGTCACTACCACCCCGCCGACAGGGGCAGCTTCTCTGGACCACTGTTTGCTGAGTTCTCTTTCGTAAAAGCAGGAGTCAGCAAACTTCCAGGCAAGGGACCAGAAGGTAAATATTTCAGGTTTTGCAGCCTATTTGGTCTCTGTTGCAACTGCTCCGTCCTGCATTAAAAGCCGCCACCGACAGTACAGAAGTGAATGGCCATGCTGCGTCCCAATAAAAGTTTATTTACAAAAACAGCTGGCAGGCTGGATTGGCCCACGGCCCATGGTTTGCTGCGCATGGTAGTTGTATGCATGAAGGCGTGCCCTCACCCATTGGTAATAATGAGGTAAACACATGCACACAGAGAACACACACGTACACATGCGCATGCACGCACATACACACACAAACTGCACAGAGCCGATGACTGGCATGAAGTGCACACTTGATATATGTTTATTGATTTGATGGGTGACGGGAGGGGTGGAGGCGGAAGGACGTACCACTGCAGGAGGCAGGATTAAGATCACTACAAAAGGAAGATCATTAAAAAATTCTTGCCACACGGCGTTAGGCCGTGGTTCTTCACTTTCATTTGAACAGCAATGGAGCTAATA